GATCATCACCAGAGTTTAGAATATAAGGCAGGCAGATAGAAAGGAGACACCGTAGCACTTGGATCCTTCCTCGCCAACTACACTTTCCGACTTCATCTCAATACTGAGCTCTCGAAATATTTTCTTTAAGATTTGGTTCAGGAGCCACACTCAGTAAAGATGTTTTTCAGAATGAATCTTCTCATTTTACTCTTCACCGCAGTCGCAGCAGCCCATCCCCATTTCATGTGGATGGAGCTCTTCCATCCGCCATTTCTGATGGAAGTTAGCTGGAAAGCTCAGCAAGAGTACGACGAAATTCTTCATAATCCGAAGTTGACGATTGCTCAGCAAAAGGAGCAAATCATGGCGTGGGCAAAGAAATACAAGGTCACGGTACGTGAAGATGTCACTGGCGGTAGGCCAGTTATTTAGCAGTGGAAATTCCAATTTGTTCTAGAATGAAGTGAAGAGCTTCTTTACCAAATTCGGGAAGCGTATGGAGAAAATGGACCAGAATCTAGCCGAGCTTGTCGACGAATTACCGAAAGCTGTTCATAATCTCACCGAAATAATGAAGAATCAGAACCAGACCATGCTGCAGATGATGGAGGCCACGGAAGAGTTGAGGAGGGAGCACCATTCGGTAAAAAGAGCTATCCGTGATTGAAATATCCATCTTAAGCCGAAAATTCTAAGTGAAATTGACGCTTTTCAGGTCTTCCATGTGCTAATGTTTGCTATGAAAGAAGTCATGCGAAAACATGGTCCACATGGACCTCATCCGATGCCACATGAAGGACCTTTCCCATTCGGTGGTTTCCAGCCCTGGAATCACCCCTTTGGAAATCCTTGGAATCACCAATGGAGGAATCCTTGGGAACATCATTGGGAGAATCCTTGGAAAAAGCCATGGCAACGAGGATGGAATAATGGACCTTTTAGTGGGTGGCCGCATTTTGAGCCAGAAGGCCCATGGAACAGAGGAGGATGGCAAGGTAAACGTTTTGATAGCTTCGAGACCTGACCCGACTTCTGGGGAACGCCATAGAACGACTTTTCTAGCTTAGAACAGGTTTTTGGTATTTACTAGTTCCAGGTTACTTTTTTTGAGGAAGCCTACAATTTCTTTTTCAGAGCATCATTTTGCAGACCATTGGGAATGAAAGGCGACAGGTGATGTTCAACTTCACTGGATTTTCCTCGTCGTTTTTTTTTTGTCAAGAGATGTCATCCCAATGCAAATAAATTCTTCCAAATGACTCCTTTTCAATTTCTATACTATTACAATGGAGCTCATGCGCTTGGGGGGTGGGGCATAAATTCATGTCTTATATCGACTGAACTTGGTAACCGACTCAAAACGAAAACTACGAAGGCCTTTTCTGGGAAGTTGCAACCAATCTTTTCTCAGATGATTTTAGCTTCTCATTCTAATCCGCATCTTGGCTATGTCCACAGCAACAAGCCAGATTAGTAAGTTACAATTACAATTACTCTGGTATAATTTTCTAATTCATTGAGGCTTGCAGTAAGACCACAAATAGTAAACACGCATATAAACAGTTCTACATTGATTTTATTGGCTTTACTTGTACACTCTTTTGAATCATAAACTCTCACAACTGCTGGACTCAATCCTTGTTTAATTGTATTTACAAAAGATGCAAAGAATACGACTAACCAGCTACACCTCGTTCCTACTAATTCTGCACTTCGTCCTCAGCACCACGTAGGGGACGTAGATTGGCTATTAATGCTTCCCCTTGCACAGAATTTCAATAGTACTGAAAAATACAAAATGAGGACTATTCAAGGAGAAGCAAAATAAATGGCCAAATCGACACGTTACTAATTTACGGATAGATACTTGTATAGAGAGGAGCTTATCCTTTTCTATGTGAAAATTCATATTGCATGAATATTTCGTTGAAATATTAACACAGCAATATAGATATACTCTAAGCGGGAGAACCCTAACAAAAAATAAAAACAAATAATTTGTGGCGAACTATCGAGTGACATTGCTGGGATCAAAGCGACTAGGGTGGATGGAAGGGAATGTGGGATTTTTGTCCGATGGGTTCAAGTTCACGTCCCGCATTGAGTTATCATGATCGAATGAGAAAACGTACATTGCATATTTCAATGAGGAAATGAGCAGATGTCATCGCGGCCCTTTGCCTGCTATTCGTTTTCCTTTCCTCACCCATTCTGTCTTGTCTCTCCTTCCATTCCTAGAACTCCCAAGGAATTCTTCGATCTGGGTTCGCAGTCCTCTTGCGAGGCCGCGTAATCAACCGTCTCGAACTTCAGGGACGTACACCAAATGGTATAATCTTGATCCACATCCTTCAAAATAGGGTCAACCAGCCCTGGCGGCCACGGAATCAAAGTGGTAGCTGTATGGGACCTGAGCCCGTTAATGTTCGAAGCCTCGCTTCCAACCCTGCATGGTGAAAACGTAGATGAGCAGGCATCTTCTTCAACACTTCAAAAAACGTTTCCAAGCACCATCCAATCTGAGCTCTGAGCACAATCCTATGCTTCTACATTATTCATTCTATAACTAAGACATCAAATATGCTGTTATTATATAAATTGCAACCACTGCCAAGACCCATCCAAGAAAACCCACCGTGCAAGTCGAGAACAAGAAGTTCTAATGTTCGTCCGTACCAAAATGTTTGTCCGTACAATGTTGGTTCTAATGTTTGTCCGTACAAATGACGAAGCTCCAATTTTTAAAATAAGCTTTGAGTGGATAAATGGCCTCGAAGTTCAGTGGACACCCCAAAATTCCAATAAATCGTTCAAATTGGCGTTGCGAATGAAAGAAGACAGGAATTTGGAGCCGCACGTACGCCAGTTCAAAAACAGGAAGGGGAGCGTCCAGGTGGAAGTTCAGTAGTTTACCACGGAAATTTTGGAATTAATCAAAAATCTCTCAAGAGCACTTGACTCATTACAAAGAGTCCTCTTGAATCTTGCGCTTAATCAACTTCGCGTTTTCCTTTACAGGTATCCCTTTCATGGGTAATCTATCAAAGAATCGACGACAAGCTCAAAATGAGGACCAAGTGGACCACGGTGGCTTGGCGCAGAGATGTGACTCGGTCCTCACTTACCTTTTACGTTCCGAGGAGTGATGCGGTCGTTACGGGCCTAATTTGGCAATCATGCATATGTTTGTATCAAACTTCCTTTCAATAGTTCCATTCATGACAACAGAGAAAAGCCGAACGATGTGTCGCCTATAAAACCGTTTAAATAATCACACTGAACCATCAGAACACTATCTGGAAAATGGGAAAGGCGGGGAAAACTAGGCAATATTTTCTAAAATTTTGAATGCTTTCTTCTTCCTTCTAGAGTCGTAAGCGCTAAGAAATCACCTTTTTAGAAACATAGGCATGATTTTCAAACTGTTCTCATAACACTCGTATTGCTCGCGGAATGAATAAAAGGATGGCAAGAATTTATCGATCCAGCGAATTCCCATGCTTCTCTGGTGATCTTTATCAGCGTCAACGGTTATTCGTGGGTGTCCTCCTCGTTCCGCACGTAATGGTGACTTGCTTAGTAAGTGCTGATAGCCCCGTAAAGGCACAGTTCACGATAATTTTGGGTAATCCAGATTATGATGATCAGTGGAAGGCAAAATCGAAAATAGTGCGATGAAGGTGAAGAAACTGCGTGGATCGGTGTTTCCAAAGTGAAAAAGGCTCCAAAAACCGTTAAAGGGGGGATGGACGAGAATGAGACCAGAAAAATGAAGAAGAGTGGGGTGTTTGGACGACCTATACAATGTGAGTCATTGCGTACGAGTGGATCCTGGTGCAAATAACTGACAACGGTAATCAGAAACATAAGTGAACAAAAAACCCTAGTAGCAGCAAAAGTAACTCACCTTTTTCAGCCTCTAGGGGTAGGAAAATAAATAAGGGATTGCGGCAGCAAAAAAAATAACAAAGGAAAAAAGAATGGGAGAAAAACATCGCCTCGTAACTCGGCGACCAGCTGATTGTATGTGGGTCCGAGAACGAATGGTTGCAATCTGTATTTCTCGACACTTGTCTGGCGTGACATCGATCGAGGGGAGGAAAAGTCAATTACGGTAGCAACGGAGCTTCCACTAAGCCATAAGCGTCGAGATTGTAGGAGCGAAAGGGTCCCTTCTACCACCCATGGGGGGGGGGGGGGGGGGGGGGGGGG